ACCCAATATTTTTCTCCTCTGTTGGCTAGAGACCGTGATCCTCCCTTTGATTGAGCTGGCTTGGCAGGGACTCAGGCGCTGCTATCACTTCCTTCCCATCTGGCCCCAGAAACTGAGGCAACTCAGGGTCAGAGGCACATTTTTGATGAGGTCAGACTGAGTATCCCTCCTTTTGGACAGCGCTCAGAGTCCAGAGTCCATTCTCCTGCCCAGACTGATATCCTGGCCAGCAGCTGATCTGGATACATTTCATTCTGCCTACTGGTCCTAATGTGAACTGGAAGAGCGACCCACAGAATGATGATATGTTCCTGGTTTCCTGGGCATCCCCTTTCATATCAATGAACATTACGCAGGAGTGCTTTAGTATACAACAGTGATTGAGTATGCATGCATATCTACCAGAGCAAGTGATGAACAATCATGGCCCCCCAAAATAATAATTGTATCCTCAATAATCATGGCCTGGGAAGGAGCTGTAGGGGAGACCAGTCTGACTTCACCTTCTCAATGCCACAACTCCAAAAACAATGTGTGGGTAAATAACACAAGTCTCCAAAATTAGTGTGCTTACCAAAAGGCAACTATACCCAAAGGAAGCATTTCTGTTTGAATTTAATTGATTTAAAATTAGTGTTCCTTTCTTTTGATGGCTCCATTATTGTTTACTGGGAAAACATTTGCAGCAAAACACATATTGCATGTGTACCTGGGCATTGATAGTCTCATTGGCAAATACTCTCCACCACAGTGCCTGGATACATATTTGCCTCAGAGACCTGAACCACTCTGAAGGAACTGTTCGGGTCTCCCAAGGAAAGGCTATCTTTTCTTGACAAGAATGATGCTGATTTTATAAATCACCTTTCAGAACAGTCCTTGGCCTCAGAAGCTGTTGAACTTGTGGAAAACAGCAGAAAATATTGTTAGTAGAGTGCTACTGTTGAGCTGTATTGTTGGTTCTTCCTTCCTTTCCTTGATTTTTGGGACGAGGGTGGGAAAGGATCATGAGAGAAGGCAAAGTGGACTGGTTGGTTAACAAAGACTCTGCCTAGAAACAGATTTTTATTATCGTTGTAATCTCTTTGCTGCTTTCTCATCTGAAAGAAGGAAAAGATTCCTTAGGGAATTTGTATGTGGCAGAGGAGTCTAAGAAGTGGGTGATAGATGTACATCATCACTTTAGATAAAGGTTCTAATTTACCTTACAGCTTCTGTTCCTCCCACAGTTTAAACACAAACTTATATACACACATGTATATGTATAGACATTCTTTTTACAAATGTGATCCTTCTTCATTGTGGAAAATAAAAGTAAACAGAAAGAAAAAAATAAATGTCAACCTTAATCATACTACCCAGAGGTAATTTCTTCTATCTATGACTTATGAGGTAATATTTTAGTAAAAATTGGGTCACATGGGCTATATTTTTTATAATTTTTTATTTTTCATTCACTTAACTATATTAAATATGTTTTCATGTTCCACATTCTACATTTTTATATTAATATCTTTGTAGAATGTTATCATGTGATGTACCATCCCCTGTTGTTAAACATTTAGAGTTGCAGTCCCCAACCCTGGGGCCGTGGACTGGTACCAGGTTGTGGCCTGCTGGATCTGGGCTGCACAGCAGGAGGTAAGCAGTGGGCAGGAGAGCGAAGCGTCATCTGTATTTGCAGCCACTCCCAATCGCTCATCACCACATACACTCTGCCTCCTGTCAGAGCAGCCGCAGCATTAGATTCTCATGGGAAAACATGGATCCTTTTTAACCTTATGGGAAAAATCGGTTGAGGGATGGACCATTCAAAAACTATGCAACACTAACAAGAACAGCAACAAAACATAATTGATATCTGTTATGTAATAAACTAACTATGTCTCTCCAAAATTCTTCTGTTGAAGCCCGAACCTCCAATGTGACTGTATTTGGAGATAGGGATAATTAAACTTAAATGATACCATGAGGGTGGGGTTGTAGGCCTTAATCCAGTAGGACTCGTGTCTTTATAAAAAGAGGAAGAAACACCCAAGAGCTCATTCTCTTCACACTGGCATAGAGAAAAAGCCATGTGAGGACACAGAGAGAAGGTGGCTGTCTTCAAGCCAGGAGGAGAGGCCTTACCAGACATCAAATCTGCTGTCACCTTGATCTTGGACTTCCAGCCTCCAGAACTGTAAGAAAATAGATTTCTGTTGTTTAAACCACCCAACCTGTGGTATTTTGTTACGGCAGCCTGAGTTGATGGTACCTTTGGAGATTCTTGGCAAAGCTTAGGAATTCAGCATATCCAGAAGCTGCAGCCAGGGATATTAAAAAAGCACAAAAACAATAGAGTGGAAATGCTGATTTGGGGGCACTGAAGTGCTGTAGATGGAAGAGGAGCTCTGGACTAGTGGGGCTGCTATGAAGGTGGGCATAGTAGGAAATGCATCCTGCCACAAGCTGAGAGCCATGCAGGTACTTATCTTTATTTATTTCTAACAGAGCTAAAAAGGCTCCTATCTGTACAGCAGCTGAGCTGAGGGCTTTTTCTTTTCATTCCTCCTGATATCCTGGCTCCCTTTGTCTAAGAAAAACCATGTATAAACTAATATGACTTCCATATTTTTTTTAGACATAATTCCCCTATATACCCATCAAACATAAGTTAATTGGTATTTTAAAAACCTGTGTTATAGCAGAGCTGATTGTAACCCACTCTGTGATCTCAGTTTACTCAACTGTAATTTAAGGAGGTTATAATAGAGGGATGAGTTTTTAAATTGGTGCATTGAATATTACATAGGCTATATCCTCCCCTCTCCTGGTGGTGGAGGGGGACTGTGAGGCTGGGGCCCGCTGTGGTATAAATCTTCTGGTCCTCCTCCTCCCATGCTTTAACAGAATGGCTCTGGTTTTACTTGTCATATATGATTTTATTTGGAGAAAAGGTCTGTTATGGACTAAATGTTTGGGTCCCTTCCAAATTTATGTGTTGAAGTCCTAACCCTGCATGTGATGATATTTGGAGGTAGGGCTTTTGGGAGATACAAGATTATGAGAGTGGAGCCCTCATGAATAGGATCAGTGCCCATATGAAAGGGACCTCAGAGAGCTCCCTCACTCTCTTTCTGCCACTTAAGGATACGAGAAGATGGCAGTCTGCAACCTGGAAGGGGCCATCACCAGAACCCGACCATATTGGTACCTTGATCTGGGACTTCCAGGCTCCAGAACTGTAAGAAATAAATTCTGTTGTTTATAAGTCACCCAGTATATGGTACATTGTTATAGCAGCCTGAATAAGCTAAGACATGGTCCTTCATCTTAAAAGGTTTGAAAACCTTAGGACAGGATAATATTAAACTCCCTTCCAATTGTAATTCTGTGATCTCTAAAATCGGCTTATTACCTGTGTGGACTCTGCATACGTTATTATACTCTTTAACATACATATTCTTATCTATTCTACACATTCACTCCATGAAATAATAAGGATATGTGTCATCAGTCCCATTTCATGTACTTGGAAACATTACATGACTTCCCATAGTCACACACAACTAGATACAACTAGGACTTAAACTTGGGTCAAGCAACATCAGTTTCCTGCTACTATGAGAGGGAGCTTAGAATTTCATTTTTAGAACCCATAAGGAAAGTAAGAAAAAGAATAGTAATCCTAATATTTAAAACCTGGCCATGCCCAGTGGTTCATGCCTGTAATTCCAGCATTTTGGGAGGCCGAGGCAGTAGGATTGCTTGAGGCTGGGAGTTTGTGACCAGCCTGGGCAACATGGTAAGACCCTGTTTCTGCAAAAGACTAAAAAAATTTAGCCGCGTGGGTGGTGAGCACCTGTAGTCCAGCTACTTAGGAGGCAGAGGCAGGAGGATCTCTTGAGCCCAGGAGTTTGAGGTTGCTGTGAGCTATGATGACATCACTGTACTCCAGCCTGGGCAACCAAGCAAGACTGTCTCAAAAAAAAAAAAAAGAAAATAAAAAGAAAACAAACAAAAACACCCACTTAATTAAAAAGTATAGTAAGTTACGTGAGTTTTTATTTTTTAAAAAGCTGATTCTATAAGTCTGTTTTTCTGTTTACTTGGCATCGTGTTTCTCTTTATAATAGTTATATCTCTTGGATATAAGGTCTAAAATGCCCCATTACTAAGGAGTCTAGTGAGCTTGAATAGAAGGCTATCATTTTAGGAAATACTGACAAAAACAAAACTCTGTTGGTTAGCATACACTAGTTACAAGCAAGGAATCTAAGGAAAAAGTTCTTTTGAGCTTTGAACTTGAAAATGTACACTTAGAACTGGCAAACATTATCTCTTCCCAGAATGCTGATCACCTTCCCTTTTTCTGGTCTTTGTTTGCTCTTCATATCCAGTAATAACTTATATTAATACTTTTCTCTCTTCAGTTCCATCATCTTTTGTTTCATGAAATACAAATTTTGTGTGTTGTCAAAGAGTCCACTTAACTACACTCCTTTTAATAGACTCGTCTTCAGTTTCTCCCTTCACCTCACATGTATTGACTGGAAAAGCCATGTCCTCTACCATAGCCTTCTGATTTGGATTTCAGTCAGTTTATTGCTAAAAAGATGTTGATCTTTGACCTATAACCTCATGTTATATTGCTGTCTGAATGTGGTTCTTAGGTGTTACTTACTTATTTTTGGATATAATGTAACTGTGCTTCAGGGCCCCTAGCATACTCAGCTGTAGAAAGGACCACTGTTCTTTATTCAATCTCTGTTAAGTAGACAAGATGGCCCATTGAAACAGCAGTTTCTGTCTCTTTCTGTGTCCCCTTCTGTCCTTTTCTTTGTCTTCTGTTCGTCTTTCTGTTTCTTTCACCTGTTCAGTAATTACATTCCCCATCCTGGCTTCAAGGAATATCACAGAAGAAACCAGAAGCCAGCTCTGATTTGGCATTTATCTGGAAAATATGGTAGATAGCATAGTATCTGTCCCAGAGATGGACATATGTTTTTCCTTTCTAGGATTTGGGATAAGGAATAATCAAAGAAGGCATTTCTCCATTAAGCTGAGAAAGCAGTAGCCTGGAGCCAAATATGTCTTCTGGTTTTATGGATGCACAAACCCGCAAAAGCTTAATGAAAAGGAACTTGAAAGGAGAAGAAGATTATCACATTGCTTTTAGGTTCCCTGCTTGATTACTTTTAGGTACTGAATACATGTGCCAATTTGTGAGATTGATTTAATGGTTTCCCTTTATGACATTGTTAATCATAACAATTACAATAACTTAACACTTGTGTAGTGCTTTCAGTTTTTAAAGCATTTTTATATCCATTATCTTATTAGATCTTTGCAGCAAACTTGGAAAGATATGCTTGCCAAAGAATGGTCCTTTTGCTGGGAAGGTCATCTTCTTTGAGCATGCAGCTTCGAGAAGGAGGACATGAGGAAGGTTGAGAGAAGAAGGGGACACCAAGCCAGCCAGGTCAGCTGAATCCACAGGTGCTGTGCAGATGGCATCCTGCCTCTGCCCATCCATATCCTGAGTGGGAGTATTCAGCCTTGACTTAATTTAGAAAAGCATCACTTTAGTTCCACTGAATCACTTTGCTGAACGAAGGGTCACTTCCAACAAGCCAGTTCTGGATCTGGCACATTTATGACCCATAGGTGACAACAGTGGGAGCTTCTCTAAACCCACCAAGATTGTTCTTTGTGTAGTTTTTATTATTAATTGTAAGTACTTCATCAGCAAGTATTCTAGCTCTGTTAGATTTTAGCTGATGATTTAGAGCTCAGTTCTTCCAGAATCCTACAGATGAGGCTGTTGGTGATTGAAGCAGCTTCATTGTTTTTCTTTCTTGCATCCAGGGCTAATGTAGCCCTGAATGTCTAGTTGACATTTGATTATTAGCAGGGAATTCCAAAACTCTGCTTAATCCCCATCCCCATATGTACAACAGTACAGTACGCCCCCTTCTTATACAGCCCTATGACATGGGGCAAATACTGTAATTTCTTATTTGTAGATAAGAAAACTATGTTAAGAGGTTGCATAAGTTGTTAACCACTTTAGCTATGTTTCAAGATCACTAGGAGTCAATGCAAAAAGCATATTCCTTATTGGACCTTCTTCCTGGTCCGTAACCCTCTTCTCTACGAACAGCCACTCCATGGGTAGGGGTGAATCCTGGTAGCCATGCTATGGCACATGACTTTGCCTTATCATGGCTGTTTAGAAAACAGGTGAATGTAAGTAGGTAGAGCAAATGGTGTCTCCTGGCAATTAGGAATTGGAATGAATAGATTACTCAGTTTAATGGGTTACTTGAAATTAGGATAAACTCTGGGGCTGTGGCCACCATGTCTGGCTATATAAACATTAAACAGAGACTAGAGAGAAGAGACAAAAGTGGGGACAAAGCAAGCAGAGAGAGAGAAACTATGTGGTGCTAGAGGATGGGAGTGCGGTAGGAAGCTAGAGCAGCTGCCTGGTTTCTTCTCTGTTTTTTAGTTCCTGGCTTCAGATACACAAACGGACCAGCCCCTGTGTAATCCCTGCCCTTCCGTTCTATGAAGCACTCCAGGATTCGTTCTGATAAATGCCTGTTTTTACTCAAGTTATGTTCAAGGTAGTTTTTGATTCTCGTCATTCAAAGAGCTTTAACTTGGAAATTCTGGAAATGACCTTTAATTATTTGCACCAAGCATTTGCACCATGGGCTATGCAGAGGAAATAGCCTGCTCACTCAGCTGCAAATGTCCCCAAGAGTCCCTGTCCTGCCTACCCGTGTGGTCAGGAGATGGCCTTCTTCTGCCGTGCCTGGTTGCATCCTGAAGCTTCCTGTGAGAAGGGCAGCTCCAGCTGGGTACTGGGATACTTTATCCTCCTGACACCCATCTCATTAATACCTCGTGCTGCCGCATGCCCACTTCCTTTTTCCTTTGTAGTTGTTCTGTCACTCATTGTTTGCTAATGACTAGTTGGCAGGCGGAGAGAAGAGAAGTGGCAGCCAGCCTGGCCTTCAGACTGGAAAGAAGTATGTTTTCTAGAGAATGAAAACACTATTTGGGAGGAATCACGTTCCAGCACTGAATATTTCTTTCAAAGTCCTGCTGGGCTCCTTCTGTCTCCAAGTGCCTGTGCTTTCCTTTGTCACTTCCTCCCACCTCCTACCCAGATGGAGACTGGCAGGGCCACCTTATTTGGGTACAGGGCTCCTCAAAGGCAGGTGTAGGCTCTGGGGAGACTCTAATATGATCTCTGGGAAGCAAAATATTAGAGCAGTTATAATCATAGGAAAATAATAGGCTGCTATTTTGAAACCTTTGACAACCTCTCAGTTTTTCTCGAGAAAGCCAGTAATTAGTGAGAAATACTGGGTTCTCTCTGATATCCAGTCAAAAGAAGTCTCCTAAGCCTGTAGAATAAATTTATTGTTGTCTTGGATTTAGTATTTGTTCCAGGGAGGAACTCCAGACACTGTTTCTCCCATTGCCCTCCTTCTTACCTGGGGAATGGTCCATCCACCTCCCTACCCCAGAGCTCCTAAAAGCCAAGCAGCTGGGACCAGCCCTCTGAGGCCAGACCTTACCCTGACCGTAGGGAGAATGATGTTGCAAACTTTGATGATAATGCTGACTATTCATTTAATATTCACCATATACAAAACAGTCTTCAAACACCCGGTCAAAAAACTGCTCTGGTCTGCATGGTTCTCTAAATGCTTCTCAGCCAGAAGAGGGCGTTGCATCCTGATTTTTTTTTTTTTCCTTTTTAAACTAAGCAGAAAGCCCTAGAAGAAGAGCAAATGATTTTTAGATCCGTAGTTTTCTATGCATAAATAGCAACACAATAACAAAAAGTTCATCTGTTGAAGACAAATAATCCAAAGAAATATTTGTAAATGCAGACCAGGCAGCTGGCATATAACACTGCTAAGGGTACTAGGGTCCAATGGCTTTTGGTGACCATATTTCTTATGCTGCTTGCTCAGGTTCGAAATGAAGTGACAAAAATGCAGCAAAGGCCTCTTGCTAGTGAGGAAAAGTGGGTAATATATTTGTTTGTACTATGGGATTGCAGTTCTACTAGAAGGAACACTTGACATTTTGATGAGTGCCTCCAGGGAGAAAAGGTACTAACTTCAGAACTTAGTTTTAATTATACTAAGGAGATTACATTATTCAAAAGCATCCCACTGGTAAGGTGCAACATTTCCTGAAACAGTTTAGTGGAAAATGCCACATTAATCAGTTCAATATTTCACTCAGAAGGCTTAATGATGGGAGAAGTTTAAAGTACTGTAGCACAATAACACAGAAAGAAAGAAAAGAAAGAATGTTCACTTAGAGGGAAAAGCTGAAATAGTTGTTAGTCCCTCTTGTGTCTTTCCCCATTAAATCTGGCTGGCTGCACTAGCAACCCAGTAGGGATCCACATGTGGGACTCCATCATTCCTGAAATAGAAGGACCCCGGAAAGGCAACAAACACAAGGTGAGAGAAGTATGTTATGTTCAAGCCACGTCCTCTGCCCAGCTGTTCTCATCCACCCAGCAGTTTACCTCTGCTCCTCTCTTAATTGGCCCAGGTTGGTGGTTTATAGCTGCGCTCTTCCTCCCCATCCAGACGGACAAAAGATTCTCGTAAACGTGTGGTACCTGAAATTAAAGGGATTTGGGCAAAATGTGATTCCTAAGCAGCCAGTATTCCTTCCGTTCTTTCCCTCAACTCATATTCTAATTACTATTTCCAGTCTAGACAATTCGAACAAGAATCTGTCCTGAAAGCCAGAAAGGTTGGTGCTTACCATAATAGGGTGTCACCTGAAAGGTGGTGGCCAACACACATGAGCATATTGAGATGCTGAAAGACCAAGTGTCAATGAAGATTGGAAATTCAATCCAGATCTTAGTGTTTATAAACATACAAACCAGCCTTATGGTTAGTCAAATTAGAGAAACAATTAAAAAACAACTAATCAAGATCCATTGTCCACATGGGGCAGTATTCCAGCAACTTGTTGCAAGCAACTGTGGAGCCATAGTGGACTCATGGCTGAAGCCAGTGAGGGCTGCCAGTTAGGGGTAAGAAACAATCACTATTTATGTATGTTTGTTAAATTTTTTTAATCCAATTATTAGTTAATTTGTTTTTTGGCCTCACCACAATGAAGCTGAAGTGCCTTGAATTAAAAACAAGAAATCAAGACTAAAATAGCATAGCTAAATTGTCTAGAATGTACACCATGTGACATTTCCCTGCCTTGTTTTCTTTTCTCTGTTTCTTAGTAAATGTTATAACAGATTTTTACTACATGTGTGCACTGGGTTTCCTCCTGCTTTGTGCATCAGAATCACCTTTGTTTTTACCTTTGAAGCTCTCTATTTCTTCCTTGACACTTTTCTTCCTCCTACAAGACGCTGTGTTTCTTTCTCCAACGGAGGTTCCTTGTGTTGCTTTACTCATGATTTCCTTCTACATATATCCTTTTGGGCAGCTTTCTCCATAGAAGGAATCTAACCTTAGTGGTCTCTGAAATGCTAGCTTACTTTTTCTAATACAGGAATTTCCAACCTTTTTGGAGTAGTATTAACCCATTCTTGCCCTATTCTTATTTTGCTTCTGAGACCCTATCAAAGTGATTTAATGTACATTTATTGAAAAAATTGTAGGAATCTGAGTTTTGTTTTAAGATGTGTACAACAGCCCATGAGATTTTAGTAATAGCTCAGGGTAACCAATAAGTATGATTTCACTATTGAAATTATTATAATATTTCAATATCATGATGTCCAAGCTAATACATAACATATATACCTGCCACAGATTTAAACAGGAGTGTTCTGTCTCCTAGTCAGGGGCTTCTGCCACTGTCTTGATGATCTTGGAAAGTCATAGTTGTATGTGGCTATTTTATGTTGTTTTGTTTACTATCACACAAAGTCCTTTGTAGGGTTTTGGACTAATCCTTTGAATTAAATTGAATGGCTTTGATTAGCTCCTCGTTTGTTCTTTCTTGTAAGCCCTGGGGCCCTGGTCCTGACACAGTAGCAGGGATGCTGAAACCCATGGAGTTATCATCTATTTTCTTGTCTTGATTGTTGTTTTCTAGTTTTTGGATTCTAGGTGCTGTTTCACTTTTCAAATGTGGTTGACTTCAGCTTTGTATTTTTACAGAATGGGTTTTCTAAGCATCATAACCAGACCCTAGTTAACAAAAGGGGTGGAAGTGGGGAACACAGTGTTATAAGAAAATTAGAAAACAGAATTCTACATGTTGAATCACCTAGAAATTGCTAGATATAGAGTAGCAGGCTGTAGCCAAACTGACTTGAAATATTGAACGTTCATTAGCTATAACAAAAAGATTCAATTATACTGCACACATCGGCATAAAGTCTTTGTGGTTTTAAAATAGTAGACTTTTCATTTGACGCAGATTCTCATGGGAGAAGGTAGTATAGGACTCCTCACCCATCCATACTCTATGCAGGAGGGGGCCTGATTTTACTTCTGTAATTGTCCCTCTCAAGTCCCTGTTCCTCAATTACCTTTTATGAATTTATGAATTGATGCCGGCTTTGACATGAATGGTGCTGGCTGCTGGCCTGACCTCCCCCTGTGCTAACAGTCTCTTCTCTTATTATTTTTTCATTGCTTATGATGTGGTTTCACTATCACCATGATAATAATTTACTGAGGCTTGTTATCTACCTCTTATTGGGCAGTACCCATCTTTTCTTAAAAATTGAAGCTAGGAGAGCTCTGGCCTTCCAAAGATTTTTTTTCCGTAACTTTGGGCTTCAAAAATTTCTACTCCTCTCACGCTATGTGGATTAACCCTATCTGGTTCCATCTGTTGTCCTTCTATCACTTCTTTAACATTGCAACTTATTCTATTGTTTGGTTTCTGTAGAGCCATGCATATACCTGTTGCAAATACTCTTATCCTAGCCAGGAATAACTATTTTTTTTTTTTACATGATTCACTTATGTAAATAAAAAATATTTGAAGTTGCATTTCTTTTTATAAACTTTATGAATTTAAAATTCAGAAAATGCTTTTTTTTGTATTGCAATGCCACTGAATGGTTACATTACCTTTTTTGCTAAAATTTCAGGAATTACAAAATTATCAAGCACGGTGCCTCTTTTTCTTAACCTCATTGTTCTTAAGAATCAACTGAGAACATTTTAAAACTTAGTTGCTTGAGCCAGACCCATGGAGAGTCTCATTCAAATTTTTCTAGGCCTTAACCAACCTTTTAGAATAACTCTGAAAACCAATGCAGAGAAATATGAGGCTGACAGTGCTGAGGTTTGAACACATATCAGTACTGAGCAACTTGGAACTGGTTTATTTTGTCTATCTTTGCTGATCTTCGAAGCTTTAATTTGCAAATGTGGTTTGCCTTATGATATATCTTAATATAGTATTCTCCAAAGCATTAACTTAAATAATTTATTTAAAATAAGAAAAATGTCATCTTTAAAACAAAGAAATATTCATCAATGCCCTTTCTTTGAAATGTAAAGTTCTTATCAGTCGCTTATTTCTTTTTGACAGCAATCCTAACAACAGTTTCATTTTATTTAGGAAGTGGTTCTTCTCAATTTGGAGCATCTATTAAAATTAAAAAAACACATTATGATCCAGCAATTGCATTACACTGCGGGTGTGGTGACCGGGCAGAACTACGTGCCACTCCTCCTAGACACCTGGGTCCCACTGGCTGATTCCTGCCCCCATCCCAGTCCTTCTCATTTTTCTAGACCAAGCTAACAGCCCTTCACAATTGCCAGCTTGGTAGCCTAAGCAGTTTTGCTCTGGCTGACCTGTTGGGAGTGTGGCCCTGAGGTGTCTGTAGTATGCACGGGTTAGGCTTAGCTGAGTTTGGCCCTCTGGGGCCAGGAGTGGGGATTTCAGAAAATAAACTTCAGGTCACATCTCAAAGATAGTGCTGTTGCTCTTATTGATGTAGGTGCCACATATGAGTTCCTGCAGAAAGCTAACAGAAAGGAGAGACTGGCTCTATAAAATTTTGGTCTTCTATTTAATTCTCATTATATTCCACTGCTGGATTTCCCAATATAATGGCCAATTTTTATGGAGTGCTCACTATGTGCCAGACACTCTAAGTATTTTACATGTGTTATCTCAACTAATTCTTGCAGCAACCTATGACATAGGTGCAATTATCACCCTCATTTTACCAGTCAGGAAACTGAGGCACAGAAAAATTATTTTGCTCAAAGTCATACAAATAAGTGTCAAAGCCAGGATTTGAATCCAAGAGCTCATTTCTCTGCTCCCTCCTCCTGTATAGACCAAACCTGTCCTTTCCTAGCCATCCCCAATACTTTAAAGTCAGAAAGTTTGAAGACAAAAATGAAACGCCACTTAAGAATGCATAGTTCCTTCCATTAGGAGAGAAAAATCTTAGAATTTAAGGTTAATAAGATAATGATTTAAAATGTAAGACTTTGATGGAAGCAATCTATAAAAAATATATCCAAGAACATCTATTTTCTTGAATTTTAAGTTCTTAAACCTCTGTGTTTGATAATATTTTCTTGGTGTTCCACCTCTCAAAATTTGCAAGCATAATTTATTATATATAAGAGAGGTAGTGTTGCTTAGTAGTAAAAACATGGACTTGAGCCAGATTCCCTAAATTCAAATCTCGGCTTTAGCACTCATTAGCTGTGTGATGTTAGGCAAGTTACTTAACTTGTCTGTGCCTCAGTTTCTTCATCTGTAAGAGTAGTACCTATGTCTTTGGGTTTGTTATAACAATTAAATGAGTTTTATAGTTAAACACTTAGAGTAGTGTCTGACACATGGTAAGTACTATAAAAATATTTCTTAAATAATTAAGAAAATTAAAAGTAAGGTTCAGCACAACCAAACTGTATGGAATCTATCTAACCCATTGATTTTTTTTTTTTTTAAGGGAGAGAAAAGAGTAAAGAAACCCATATTTGTTGAGCTTTTCTTCTGGCAGCTAGCAATAGCTAGTACCAAATAAATACAGCCTTTAGAATTTCTAGGTAAGTAAAAACCTCCTTCTAATTCAAGCAGATGACCATGATTCTCAAGAAATAGATTCTGTGTCCACAGAGAGCTGGGCTTAATAACAAATGGGAAACAGGCCCCAAAGACAGCATGCTCTCAGCAAGGTTTGTGGGCTTCTGGGGCTTGGGGCTTGAGGGCTTTGGAATTTGATGCTTGCTCAGAGTTGTTAATGTGGCTATTAGCCTTGAGACTTTTCTGCTTTCATACCACACACATCCATGTTTTCTTATTTCCTTCTCTTCATTTCCTCCAAATTTCATACTGTAGACCTTACCCCGTGTTTCTGTTGTGTTTCACATTCTTAGAGTTGGCATTATGGTTTTAGTGTCTTTAGGGCATTAAAATCTATATTTCACTGTAACAAACAGGAGCAAATCTTAAGATTTCTAGCTGGAATTCTTTTCAGCCTTTCCCCTATTGATATTTGCAGTTTCATTTTGCTCTAATTGTCCCCGGTGGTGCAAATAGGCAGGGACTCAGCCTTCGCTGATGGATGCTGAGCCGCCACTACCTTTTTCTGCCTAGAAAACAGAATGGATCCTGGGGGCAAAGATTAGCACTTTTTAACACTGGACAGAGTTGGGAGAAAATTATAATGCCTCCATTTTACCTTTCTCTATTGATTATTGCTATCATTATTGCTTCTGCTTTTGTTAGAAAGGGGCTCCTTGAGAGGGAAGAGAGAGCAGTGGCCACATGAAAACAGTGAAGCCATGTACAGGTAGCTTGCAAAACCCTTTGGGATCACTCAAGCTGAAAAGAAGTTGTAAAATGTAAAACAGCATCATTAATAATAATACTTTTATGATTGTAAATAGCAGCAAGTAAAATTGAGTTGCTTGGTGCTCCAGGCTTTACACCGGACTTCCCTAAACAGTGAGGCTGTGGTACCCTTACTTTCCTTTCTCTTTATTGCTCATCTCGTATTCTATAACACGTTCCTCTGCAATTGCCATAAGCAAATCATTTAACCCATAGGAATAATCCTGGGAAGGTGATGTCAGTGCAAACATATCTGTGGCTGTAAAGATCAGCCATGCACAAACACCCAAAGGAAAGGACTTACAAATATGAAGTGCTATATCAATAGCAACTGCTGCAACTAATTGATAATAACAGTATATGTGCACAGCCCAAAGCATGCAGGGAACTGCATTTCAGAGAGCTAGGCAAAAGGAATCGAGCCAGGAGCAACTGGAGAGCTGGAGTTCCAAGCCCTGTCTACACAGCAGGACCCACGCATAAAGCACCAATTGTGTCGCCCATGTGGTATTGTGATAAGTACTAGTGAGAGTGTTGACAGGTGGTTTATCGTCCTGGACATGGTTAGGTGCCAAAAACAGGTTTATCATCACTTGGTAAGATTATTTAGTATGATAATTAAATTATGAGGAAAGATATGGAAAAAGCAGGTCCCTGAGATAATTGTTGCAGAGCATTAGGTATAGACAGTTCTTCCTCACCTTCATGTCCATTGAAGGCTGCCTTAGTAAAATCCAATGCCCTCTAAAATCCAATGGAGCGAAGCAGAAACCTTTGGGATGCTGAGAAGGGAGGAAATGTGGTTTAGTAGTTCATGGCTAGGTCTAAATTCTTGCCTCATCATTTACTAGTTAGTAATCTGGAGAAAGTTAAGATACTTTCTTGTGCCTCAGCTTCCCTTCTGTAAAATACCTATCTCATAATTATATGTGAAAATTAAATGAATAATATATGTACAAATCTAGAAAAGTGTTTGGCATTTAGAAACATTCACTAAATATCACCTATGTCTTATGCCCATGTGAGATATTCTGAGAGATGTTTTGAAGGGCCTAAAATGCACACACTTGCTTTACCAGCTTAGAGATAAGAAATAAAACATCTCTTTTTAGGATTCCAGTTAAATGTCTTCAGCCACCTCACCCATCAGAATGTCTGGCTTCCTCCTGTGATCATCTTTAGGAGCCCTGGTGTTCTATGGATCTATCTTTGCTGCTAGAGCCAGAGCTCAGATATCCTCCTAGGGTGAGAGCATGCTGTAACTGCCACTGGAAATTTGCTTCTGCTTGGGTTCATGGGTACCCAAATGGCAGGCACAGTAAAACCTGAGAAGTCAAACCTTGACTTGTCATTCCTGAGATGTCAGTGTGGCAGTGTCTGAGAGTGGCTGAAGCTCAGTGGCTTAAGTTCCAGTGTAGTCCCTCTCTCAGGTTAGTTCTTCAAGGTTAGAGGAAAGATACTTTTCCATCTCTTATTCATGACTGGCCAGAGGAATTTTACATCATTTGAGCCAGGAGTGCAACTTGACATGTTTTTTATTTTATTTATTTATTTTTGAGACAGAGTCTTGCTCTGTTGCCTGGGCTAGAGTGCCGTGGTGTCAGCCTAGCTAACAGCAACCTCGAACTCCTGGGCTCAAGCAATCCTTCTGCCTCAGCTTCCTGAGTAGCTGGGACTACAGGCATGTGCCACCATGCCTGGCTAATTTTTTCTATATATTTTTAGTTTGCCAATTAATTTCTTTCTATTTTTAGTAGAGACAGGGTCTCGTTCTTGCTCGGGCTGATCTCAAACTCCTGAGCTCAGGCAATCCTCCTGCCTCGGCCTCCAGAGTGCTAGAATTACAGGTGTGAGCCACCACACCCGGCCTTGACAGGTTTTTAAAAGTTCATCCACACAGTCACCTCCCCAGAGCACAATATAAAGTTCAGAACCACTATTCCTTTGACCACCTGGCTTTACAGCAATGGCTCCTGACTCAGTCTCTTTCTGTTCTCCACAGTGACTTTACTTCAGTAGTCTCATTGTCTTTGTCACAGACTGTTGATGAGGGATACCCTGACAGGTCTTAATACCTTTGAATCTCCTGGAGAAAAGTTAGGGGTCTCATCCTGCTATGGTTGAAATGTTTATGTCTTCCCCAAAAATTCATATGTTGAAATCCTAACTTGTGAGTTGATAGTGTTAGGAGGTTAGACCTTTTGGAGGGTGATTAGGTCATAAGAATGGAGTCCTCATGAATGGTCTTAGTGCCCTTAAAAGCAGGCCCCAGAGAGCTGCCTCGCCTCTTCCACTATGTGAGGAATGGGCCCCTCACCAGACACTGAATCTGCTGTTGTCTTGATCTTGGACTTCCCAGTCTCCAGAACTGTGAGAAATAAATTTCTATTGTTTATAAGCCACCCAGTCTAGGTATTTTATTTTAGCAGTCCAAAAGGATTAAGACTCATCCCTTTGCTTTAAGAAAGCCCATAGTCTCATATAAATTTGCCTACTTTTCCCTATCTCTGAATGTCAACAGTTTCTTTATCAGGAAAAAGTAAAATTCTATCTTACCAGACACTCTGTTTTCATTCTTATTTTAAAGACTGCTTTGCTTTATAATTGTTTTTGTGGATTATTGGTAGTGAAGGAATGTTCTGAGAGCTGTCAACAAAGTGTCAATTAGAATGATTGAATAGCACGTATCATTTCCTTGTGACCTTTATTTGATTGTGCATTTGAACAACTCTACTTTCGCAAGAGAAGGTAAAGAGGAAAAATATTTTTCAGGAAGTGGAAACATTTTTATGTACTATAAATATTGATTGAACACAACTACAGTATTTTGAGTCTATTTAAAGATAATTAGGATATTTTGCATGTTTCTTGGTATAAGAAAATTCACATAGAGAAATAGACATGATTCAATCTTTCTTAGATAGTTCATTTTTTTTACAACATCCCAAAGTCATTTAAGTCATGTCTGAGTGTTTCAGTTAGTTATTGCTGCATAATGAACCACTCTAAAATTTAGTGCCTTTAAACAGTTATTTTCTTAGGTTATTAAGTATGAAATATCTGATTTCCTTAAGTACTAAGTTTGACAATTGATATCTCTGACATTTCACTTTGATACTTCTTTTTTTTACTTTTATTGTGAAGGTGCATCCTTATTCTTTCAAATGTATGGTTTGGCTTGTGATTATATTCCAATATTTTGTTAGAGCAATTTTTGTGAAATTATGGAAAAGTAAAAAATTTGTGTTAATTTTGAATGAGTTCCATTGTGCAACAAATGCAGTGCAGACAGCTCAAAATATCAATTAAGAGTTTGAGAAGGATATGGCTAACAAATGAACAGTATATCAATGGTTTGAGAAGTTCCATTCTGGTGATTTTAATCTTGAAAATGAGCCATGTGGGTGACTTGAGACCAACGTGGATGCCGAAGAGCTGAAAGTTATAGTGGAATCAGATCCATCTCAACCTATGTGTTAGCAGCAGGGTTTGACGTTATTATTTCAGCAATATTGGACCATTTGAAACAAGTTGGCAAGGTAAAGAAGCTGGATAGATGAGTTCTGCATGAATCAAACAAGTATCAGAAGAGAAATCGTCTTGAAGCTTGCCTTTCTTTGCTCTCGCAACCTAAAGGTGAACCATTTCTACACAGTATTGTTACATGTGATGAAAAATGGACTCTTTTTGACAATTGCAAGCGTTTGGCACAATGGTTGGATAAAGATGAAGTGCTGAAACACATTCAAAAACCAAATATTCATCATGAAAAGCTAATGGTGTCTGTTTGGTGGTCCAGCATTATCTACTATAGCTTTATCCACTACAGTGTATTATCCACTACAGCTTTGTGAAACCTGGTCAATTGATTACAGTGAAACCTGGTCAATTGATTACAGTGGATGTCTGCTGCAACCAATTGGATGAAATGATGAGGATGCTTTTGCTTAAGCAGCTGAGATTGGTCAACAGGGACAGACCAATCTTCTTGCAAGACAATGGTCGACCATAGTCGCACAGTAACGGTACTCAAACTATAGAGGCTGGACTTGGAAACTGCCTGTCATCCACCATATTTATCAGACCTTGCACCAACTGACTACTACTTCTTCCTGGCTTTGAACCACCTCCTGCAAGGAAAAATATTCAATTCTCAACAAGCTGTGGAAAACACCTTTTGAGCTTTCACTGCCACTCGCTCTCCAGGCTTCTT